GCCAGATTTGGCTAGAATACTCAGGTAGGTAGTTACTGTCCTTAGTTAATATTTACTTCTCCATGTAGCAAACATAAATAAGGAAACAAGTTGAATAATGCAGTTCAAAGATACTCTTCAATTGCAAGAAAGTAGTATACAAGCCCCAAAGAGAGGGACTAAAACAACTGGGAAAGATATGGTTGGGTAAGTGACTTCGTGCAGTAGCCATGTTACTGGATTGTTTTTAACAATAGTCTGACTGGGACCCGTAGAAATCACTCGGGCAAGGTGACATGACCTCTTGCTCAAGCAACTGAAGTACCTGGTTCATTGTTGGACGATCATCTGGATTTGCATCTGTGCACCTTGCTGATATTTCAAGAATTGCTTCTACAGTTTCTGAGTCAGCATCGGTACACCTTCTATCAACTACGTCTTCCAAGCGGTTCTCTCTCAACAGGGTATTCATCTGCAGCAAAAGAAGATTCGTTTATTTTCCATACTTCAAAATCCGTATGCATGGGAAAGAAAAGGTTTCTAGTAGTTTACCCAGCCGACAACATTCAAACCTCTCTTTACAAAAGTTGGATCAGTTGGTCTTTTTCCAGTTACAAGCTCTAGTAAGAGAACTCCAAAGCTATAAACATCAGATTTTTCAGTGGCAATCCCACTTTGCAGATATTCTGTTTAAGAGCAATAAATAAGAAATTAGGAAGTGTTAAAACAACCAAGATTTAATAAAGGCTAAATAGGAATATTCTTCAAATGAAACATGTAGATGTAAAGATAGGAGGGAGACACGTACCTGGTGCTAGATAGCCAAAAGTGCCAGCAACCACTGTTGTGACATGAGCATCTTCGTCCACCAAAAGCTTGGCAAGACCAAAGTCAGAGACATGTGGTTCCAAGTTTTCATCAAGAAGAATGTTGCTGGATTTTATGTCACGATGAACAATCTTTGGACAACAGTCATGATGCAGGTATGCCAGGCCCCGGGCAGAACCAAGGGATATTTTTAAACGAGCATTCCAGTTCAACAACTTATCTCTTTGTTTGAGATCTGAATGTTTAAACAACATGCAAGATAAGAAAAAGGAAAGTCTTACAATTGACTGTTAGACATACTAAATTCTAACCATAATCTATAAATATAAGTATTAAACACAAAAGCATACCGTGCAAAAAATCATCTAAGCTGCCCATAGCCAGATAATCATAGATAAGAAGCTTTGATGCTGGGAGTCTGCAGTAACCCCTCAGATTTACTAAATTTATGTGTTTGATGCTACCCAAGATTTCCAACTCTCTCTCAAACACCTGATCAGATCCTTCACGACTTCTATCTATTCTTTTAACAGCAAATGTTCCACAATCATTCATGACCATTCGGTATACAGTTCCATATCCCCCTGATCCCACAACATCCTCCTCATCAAGAGACTCCAGCTTTTCAATGATTTCACATGATGGGTATGGTAGATCACCATGAAAAGTAATAAGCTTTGTGCCTGCTTAAATCAAATGTTAGGGAAAGTAAATTCCCAAAATGAGGAATTGTATCGAATGGATGTAGAAAAGAAATCTGAATTTGATAAATAAATCTGCTTACTGGATTCTTGGTGAACTTGCTTCTTGACTTCTGTATATTTCTTTGCAGCTCTTTCCTTCTTTGACAACAAATAGATCCATAGGAACACAAGAAGCAGAACAAGTACAAGGGACATTGTGGACATTGCACCAATCAGCACTCCTTTAATATAATGAGATGATCGTTTAGGGACTGCAAAAATCACAGTAAGCATTTCCTATTGTTTATGCAAATATACCATTAAGAAATACAGAAGTTTCATTTGCAAGAGCTGTAAATATAATCATCTGGTGCTTCTTGGGTTGCTTCATAATGAACTAAGATACCAAGAATATATGAAGTTAGAACTTACCAGCTGCTTCATCACTTTCAGCATGAGGTAGGACTACAGGGAATCCCATTGCAGTCCGACACAGCTTGTGCACTTGCCGTCCACAGAGATCCAAGTTCCCAATAAATCTACATGGTAGCACACATTCAGATCATGCTTAATAAATTGGACTCTGAAACACAATGAATGGTGAAAAAGGAAAACAGAGCAAGTTCTTTGATCTGGCATGATAACAATACTCACGACATGTTCCCAAAAGTGCTCAGAATTCCAAAATCTGGTATTTCTCCTGAAAAAAAGTTGGTTGACAAATTTCTGCCAAGTAGCATCAGAATTACACTATTAGGACATTCTTCATTTGTGTTATCTTCATAGAACTAAGTTGAAAATTTTATAATATCAAATTCTTAACTGTTAAAATCTCCTTGAACTTACAGGTAACGCAGGTGCATGAGACGGCCTATTGAGGAAGGTATGGCACCCTTTAGTGAATTACTGGATAAATCCCTAAAATTGATATTCCAGTGTAATAGTAAGCAGTAGCTCAAGTAAATAAAAATAGCTTAGTTGCCAGATTTAAACAGACATTCAAATCAGAGTGCAATGTTCATAACATCTTACAGAATAGTGAGTAAAGAAAGGTTTCCAATATTTGATGGTATGCCTCCTTGAAGATAATTAGCCCTCAAATAACTACATAGACATCATTTGCAGCACGTAAGAGCATCTAAATCTCCTAAGAAAAAGAAAAATGAAACAACAAAGAAAAGAAAAGCAAACTTCCTGCTTACAGTGCTCTCAGCTCAGTACAATTGGCAATTTCATTTGGAATAACTCCATGTAAGCTGTTCTGGTGAAGTGCCCTGTATATAACCCCCCAAAGGAGCAAAGAATCAGCACATTTTGGCATTTCCCTATTGCTCTAAGTATAAAGGAGTGTTTGAACTTACAATCTTTGCAACCTACTGAGTTTACCAATACTCGGAGATATAGTTCCTGACAATTGCATATAAGGTATGTTTCTGTACAATCCAAACAAAAATATTACTCATAAAATTGCTTAAAGAAAGCAGCAAATTAAGCAAAATATAAAGTGAGAACCCAAGGAAGAGGCAGAATACATTTCACGAACTCTTTGGTCTTGAGGATAGCAAGAAATGCCAGTCCAATTGCAAGGAGATTCATCAGAAGCTTGCCAGTTATCAAGAGAGTTTCTGGTGTCATTCAATGTACTCTTGACCTCCAACAATGTCAGACCTTCAAAAAGTCAAGATCTAATCAGACTCAGAGGCTAAAAAATTTAGATTTAAACTTCCTTGTACAAGAGATTTTTGAAAGAAAAGGACATGGAAAAAGAAAAATAAGAAGAACAAGAACAAGAGATTTCAGTGTTTAAGTTAGCTGAGCATCTTCATCATTTTTGGACATGCAGCTATTTAGCGAAAGAAACATAAATACCCAATCTCAAAAAAGAAGTAAACTTTCTCTTTTCAACTCCATTTTCTTAGCAGCCAAACAGGAAGCAAAAAGGACAAAACTTCAAAAAGATGGGAGGAAGAAAAACCTCAAAACAAGAAATGGGGTTTTACCATCTTGAGTGAGAGCATCAGAGAAGGATCTCAGAAGCGCTGTTGCAGAAAGAATAGAAAATGCCCAGATCAAAACCCCCATTTTCAGACCCTCCTTGCAGATTCAGCTTCCTGTCTTCGCCTCCTACACTCGGTCACTTTAGCAAAAGAGAAAGACATACACATTGATGTGCAAATTGAACTATTGAAGATAGTGGAGAGAAGTACCATGATTAAAAATATAAGTAATAATTTGAAACGCAGGAGAGAGAAAGAAAGCGGGCAGAATATGTTTCAATATTTTATGAGCATGTTAAAGACAGGATTTTGAAAATGGACATCGTTAGTTGTGCAAGAAAGGAATAGCCGTTGTCCCATACCAATGCAAATTCAAACACTTTACGCAAAACAACAAGCTCACAAGTACACAAAGCCTTAAACTCGCTACCGATTGAGTTAGAACAGTGGGTTGATAAGGTTATCAAGCGCGTGCATTTCTCCACGCTGGTAAAAAGGTGGACTTTTTGAGGTCTTTGTTTTTGGGCTCTTGCCTGAGAAAGTCGCTCAGACTGCATTGAAAGCCTCTGACTCCATTGTTTCTAGGTATGTCGTGGCGTTGAAATAAATCAAGGATTTATGGCAAGTTTTAATCTATTTATTTATGCTAAATTTGAAATTTTGTTTGAAAAACATTTAAAAATTATATTTTAAAATAAGTTTTAGATAAATTTTAAAAAATTTTAAATGTTTAATTTATTTAAAATTGAATTAAAAAATTAATTTTGTTGTTTCTTTTTAATAAATTTTAAATTTTTGATAAATAAATAATACTTTTCAAGTGTTTTTTAAGATTTGTTAAGCACTTTTTTTTTTAATTTTCAATTATACAATAGAACTAACACTTTTTTATTTATTTTTTAATTTATTTTATTTATATATCATGTAACTTAAATTTATAATTTTTTATTTTTATTAAAAAATTACTAATAAACTATTTAAATTATTAGCTCAAAACACCTTCTTAATCCATTGCAACTAATTATTTACTCCATGTATTAGTTCTAAAACTTTTAAAATGTTCAATCTAGTTCCTATATTAAATTTTTTGTAACAAAAGGAA